AAGAATACCCTGGCTGACAGAAATGGAGAGCTAACTGTTTCCTCCTTTAATGAATCCTATTCTTTCAAAATTAAATAAATAAAAATAATAAATAAAAAAAGAGGTCAATAACGAGAAACCAATACTTCAGTTCTTCACCATTTTGTGAAACTGAAACTAGAAGTACATTCCTATAGGAGGGAAGAAATGGCTTTCATCTACAGAACAAGATTTCATCTCCCTCTGTCTACACCAAGCTTTCTGATAACGTTTAGGCACAACAAAAGAAGGACCTCAGAGGTACAGATGAGATTTCTTCATGATATAAAGAGCAGTTCGTAAATCACTTACTAATTAACCTCAACTCTCACCTGTTAGTAAAGCCTTCATACACTTTTATGGGTCTGCGAAACTTGAACTACAGTGCTGCTCTGCATTGAACAAAGCAACCTTTGCCTAACTAGCTAAGCAACAACAACAAAAAAAAAAAAAACCAAAAAACCCAAAACAACAGTTCAAGCTGTAACTAAATTACGCTCATGAGAGCGCAGTATCTGGAATTTCAGAGAATCACGACTGTTTCCATACCCTTTGGGTTGCCCTTTTCAACAAATACAGAGAATGACAAGAAAAAGAACTCAGAAAGAAAAGCAAACAAGTACATCTGAAAAGCAAGAGCCTGGAGTACTGCTGGTGCATTCAATCATTTCTCTAGAATAAGTGCCTACATGCACAGCTACATACAGAGCTTCTGGCTGAAAGTGTTTTGAGACAGCCGCCGGAAGTGCAAGGTTCCGCCTCATTTAGTGAATGGTCCTGGTTTGCAAAACAGCTTGAAACACTCCAATTTGATCCTCATTTAAAATGTGCCAATCACCTAAGTAAACTTTTCCATTTTCTAATTAATATGCTTGAAGTTTGTTATAAAAGCGATTTGAGTGTTCCACAATTGCACTAACATAAGTGTCCACACCAACTTCATCCTTTTGGAGCTGTAGAAGTTCAGAGTGAATGTATTATTTCTGATAGACTGTAATTAATGTGAAAAAAACCATTGAGCTCTGGTTTGGATACTCTGTGTATTTTGTTCACTATTTCTCAAAACACTAGATTATTCATTTTGTTTCATAACATATTCCAACATTAAATCTCTGGAAGAAACACTCCTTATTACCTTTTCAAAATGCATATTCTCTGTTTAGACCTCATTTTCACCTGTCTTTGTAAGCTTTTGTATTTCTGGATAGAGCGCACAACTTCTCAAGAGCCTGTTACCCCAGGCTATGGGGTAACAGCCTATAATTGAAATGAACACGAAGAGAAACTGTGGGAAAGTTCCCCCAGGCAGCACAAGGGACTGATATCCAGTGTTCCAGGTTCTTCAGTTTCTCAGTCAGCAGTCATATCTTAAGATTTTACAGTTGCAATATTTATATTTATTTCTCTTTCATTTCTTTTGCTCATAATTATGGACTATAACAAATATACTCACTTTGTTTTTCACTCCAAGCTCAAAAGTAGTAGGAATCACAAATAAATCACAGAGCAGATCACACCAAAATTTAAATTCAGTTTAGTTTGTGTTGAGTAAATCCACAAAAAATAATCAGGTGCATTTCATATTTGTGAGCACACTGGAACACATATAAATCACAGGGCATTTATCATTAAGATATTCATTATATCTTTTGGCAATCATTCATAAATTTTATTTAAGTAAATTGAAATTTGATTTCTATTGCTTTCTGATATTGTTAATTACTCTATTTTCATATTTGCAACCAGAAGAATTAAAGTCTAATTTCTGGCAAGAGACTAATTTTATATCAGAATACATACAAATTAGTATTTCAGGAAAAAACACATTGCCTCTTGAAGGCATGTTGCGAACTGGTGTTTATAAGAAGTGGAAACCAACGAAAAACAGTTTTTAAGCAAAACATTTATGTCTTGGGGGAGAGATACAGGAGGAATCTTTTTTTCTTTGCGTAAACAGCAGTAGTTGCAATTTGTTGATAACTGACAACTAACAGTCTCAAAGCTTCTTCATTACCCATTGTTGTAAAGAAGCATGTACACTGTGGAGCTATTTAAGACAGAGAAAATATAATTGCACAAACTTTGTCATGACTATGCAAAAATGAATACTTAATCATAAAATGTGACTTAATCTCCCAAAGATTGTAACAGCCAAGAAGAGCTTAGAGGTTGCAACTTGTGAATCAGTTAAGGTTATTTTTTCTCTTTTCCAAGGACATGATACATTCATGAAAGTCACACAAGCATGAAGTTCATAATTAAGAAGCCAAAAACCTCTGCTGAAGATGTTGGCCTATTGTAAAGAAAAAAAAAAAAGCCAGACTTCACACGTAATGGAAAAAGTCCCCAACTACTGCAGACAGTTAATTCTACCTCCTGATGATAGCACAAAGATGATGTTGGCAAAGGGATGCAAGTGGTCTAGACCAGGTGAGTTAGCTACTGTCTTGCTTTGCTTTTGTGGTGGGGTTTAACCATCTGGCTGCAGGTCACCTCAGGAATCAGCAAGAGGTTTTATATCTGCAGTACACGTGGGATTTGGGAACAAATGCATGACATCAAGTCACTATGACTTCAGATAGGAAAAGTTCTGGGAATAGGCACAGTACAGACAGTTAGACTGCTTTACCAGAGCAGGAAGGAATGACAAATCCCTGAAGGCAGAACTGTAGGATCTCTATTGTTTCGGATTCTGGGCAAGACACAAAACAAAAGGCTCAGTGATTTAAGCCTTTGGACTAGAAGATTTCTCAGGAAGCAAAGATGTGTTTTCACAGTGATTGAGGCTGAAAAACCCCCCACCCCAAAACACAAGAAGGATGCCTTTCAAGCACTAGAGGACCTCAGCAAGTCACTTATTCAAAGATCTGGTGCAGGGCTACCTACCGGATAGGTAGATAAGTGAATCTGACTAAATTTTTTAACAACTTAATTTTTCTTGACTAGATCAATATTGCTGGCAATTCTTGTTCAAGATCATAAAAAGGAGGATTGTTCTTGCATCCCAGTCTGGTTAGGTTCTAACCCCATTGAACAGAGTAGTTTGTAGCTGGTAGAAAAGGGAAAATGTTTCAAATTAGAAATAAATGAAGAGCACATTTCTCTGATAACAGCCTCATGTCTGTAGATCGGGTGGTCTGAAGCTGCTTTTGCAACATGTCTGCCTGAAATAGGGTATCTCCTGATTTTTTTCACTGGTACCTTACTGAAAGATAACATTGATCCTTGGCTCTTCTAAGTATGCAACTTGCCACAGACATTGACAGCAACTGGAGTCATGGGACTTAGGTGACTGGGTACTGGTTGTTTGGCACAGCATTAGCCAGTTAAGATTTTAGTTTTATGGTCAGTGCTTTTTTTCCCCCACAAAGCCAGGGTGGTATGTCGCTCCATTTTCTGCTTAAAAAAAAAAAAAAATTGATTCAATGAGGGAACGGTTTGTAGCTCAGGAGGCAGGGTTGCCAAAAAGCAGCATTATTTCAGCACCTTTTTCACAGACAGACTGGATAACAAAAGCTGTAAGTTTGTAGCTGCAGGTCAGTCAGATATGTTGTGGGAGTCCCAATAGGTAACAAGACTGAGAATCTTGATCACGTTCTTGTGTACATAAGGGCTCAAGCCAGATACCTGCCAAGGAGACTCCTGTCCTTGTCAAAAGCAAGTTTTAGCTTCTTCATTTTCCTGTGTCATCTTTAAAGAAAGAAGGGAAGGATTTCTCTCCAGTGACAGTAGTGGCACAATGACAACAAACAGGTAGCAAAAGGGAAGTCAGGCAGTCAACCCTCTTACAACTGGAGTACAAGGATAACAACAGGCAGACTACAGCCAATCTGCCCAGACGCAAAGCGGTGCTTTCTTTTACACACCTAACAGAGCTCAGTACTGCTGAGAGAATAGCACATGAACGTCTAATATCTGCCACTTTCAAGAGAGTGGTTGAGCCACTACTACAAGGAGCACACTGAGAAGCAGAAGCCCAAAAGCTGCAAGACCTCAGTTTCTGTTGGCTGTGCAAGGAGACAGCCATAAATCCCATGCTGTTAAAAGAACTGTTTGGTGTCCGAAGTGAGATAAAATATTTCCTGACACCATCTGCGGCCAAGCAGGAGACACCTATGGAACCACATGGACACACCACTTCAGAACTGTCTTGTTAGGGAAAACAAAGAGAAGACTGCACCAGAGCAGGAGAGTGCCTCTGAAAAAAGGCACTCGCGTTGTCCCAATCTGCAAATCTTTGATGAATAGAATCCTTTCACACGTACAAAGTTTTGTGTTTGTCTTTAAAAGCTGTGTCCAGAATGAATGCCTCAAATTAAGCTTTTTCCTGAGGAGGAAGTACCTTAGACATCTTTAGTATTAAATATTATTGAACAATATCTAACACAGGAAAAGATATAAGTATATATAAATAACATTTTGAAAAAATCTTCATTAAGAATTTGAGATGTCTATGCTGCTTCTTACTCAGGCTTTTCATTGTTGTCACTGAGAAACGCTTAAAGTAAACAATAATGATGAGCATGTGGGAGAACAGATTGTAAAGTAATCAGTGTGAAGAATCTGCTTCTGTGGACAGAGCCTGAAAATCTGATATGAAAGATCTGATATGCAAGATGACACAGAAATTTGAAGCTTTCAGGGCACTGATATATACACAATAATTATAAACGTTTATGCCAAAGCTTACTTTAAGTATTACATCCTGTATTTAAATATGCATACTTGAATATCTAAGAGTTTTACTTCAGGGAACAAGATGACATAAAATTATTTCCTCTTTCATTCCAAGCAGCAACTGACCAAGTTCCTCCCTTTTGCTAAACATCAGAGACATATTATCTGATGCTGAACAGCTCTTTTGAGGTATACCATACATGTCAGTTTACATTCATTTCTGCAGTTTTAATATGGTTAGAATTGCTACAAGCAGTTATTCTTATAAGTTGCACAGTACTTGGAGAAACATGACAAAATCTTACCGCTATGTTTCCATTGCACCTTTGGGACTGGCAAACACCTCTTATTCTGTTGGGAATCAGCACGTCATCCCAGCAAGATGGGCCCTTCAAAATAAACACAAAGCATATAAAGGCTTTAATCCACTTAATAAGTAAACACACAAAAGTTGGTTTTGTTGCTTCTTTTCCTACCCCCATTTCTTTCAGACTTTAGCTAGACAGTTTTATCATCTTTACACTGAAAAAGTCCAATCAGATTATATGACAATATTCATCAGTAAAGCTCAGTCACTGACAGGACATACAGCCCCTCCATCCTGAGGTCAGTGTTGTGAACAGGAGTCAAACAGTAGGCACGTTTTCTCAGTTTAAGACAGGGACTGACTTTATTATTATTTAAAAAGTTACAAAGACTTATATTCCGATTCAACACTATTTACACCTTGGGCTGCAGCTGACTAAGGGGAAAAAGGGAAAAAACACAACAGCTGGAAGTAGAACACACAGTTAGAAAGACTGGAGTGTAACATAAAGGCTAGGTTAAGTAGCTTTTCTCTATTTTGTTGTTTAAGTATTAAATGGCTCTAACTTTACTGAAATCTGTTTGTTTCCATGGGCTGCTAATGTGAATTTTGATAATGCCTGCTGTAAACAAATTAGACTTCTTGTCACCAGATAAAGCCTTTACCTAACTATAATACAACATAATGAAAATGTGAAGTAAGGATTGTTAGTAGATTCCTAGACATTTATATTAGCTGCAAGATTAGTTAGTTATTGTTAATAAAAAAAAAAACAAAAACAAAAACCAAAACACTCCACATAAAAACCCAGAAAGAAAATTATTAGAAAATCCTTAGTAAACTTTGCTATGACTTTTTGAATATGAACCTTTCATTTACAAGTGTACTACAAAACACAGTAAATTTAAAGATTACAAATCAGAATTAATATTTCACAACTGCAAAATAATGTGGTTAACAGGATGCTCTACCAAAGAAGAATATTTATATATGTGGCATATATATGAACATTTATAAAAATATTTCCCAGCACATAAAAAATTTAAATTACCATAGTGCAAGTCGTCTTTTTTAATATTAATCTCACGACAATTAATATTTAATTTGTAGACAATAAAAATTAAACTAAGAAATAGATATTAAGCTTACAGATATCCATATAATTAGCAGAAACAAACAATTAAGAAGGTATCAATAATTAAAGTATTTGCTACTTGGATTACTCAGTGTTTGGGATAGTGTCATTAGTCGGGAATAACAGGAAGACTTCACCCAAAAGAGAAATTAGAGCAGTCAAGAGGTTCAACTGCATTAGTGAAATTAGTGCCTACTTAAATCATAGTCGGATTACAAAGTAATCCAGTACCACACCTAGATCCATCTCTTTTTTACTTCTGTATGAGGCATTTCTTCAGCATAGTGCAGACACAGCTGAGACAGCTTTGAACTAACTAACTTAGTAGCAGGAACTTAACTATAAAAGGTTGATCCAGCCTATCTGAAAAGTTGAGTAAAACAGCTTAGTCTGTGCTGAGCTCTGCTCTCTACTGTTATAGCTGAAGTGCTAGCATTTAAGACAGGTAAAAAAAGAGCTTGAACACGTGTAAGTGGTATTGCAGGCAGACACAGGGGTGACTACTGGTAGATTTTACTCTTTGGGAGAAAAACAGTTGTGGTATAGTGGAGTTAGTATAAAGTAATAATACTTTACTTGAAATTGTGGAAAAAAAAAACGCAAACTTGAATTAGTTATTTAAAACATTTTAAAAATCAAGTTTGCCATCAATTATTCCAGTAAATTTTGACCTCTTATGAAGCTTTAGCATTCTTGAGATTTTGCAGGAAGAACAGCAGAGCCTCCTTCAGGTGTTGTGTAAAGAACCGCCTCCTTTTAATTGTTTTCAACTCAATAGTTGAAAGTTTCATTCTATGCCCCCCCCATATATTTATTTTTCCCCATGCCATCAAAGACTGTGCAGATTTCTAGCATACCTCTCACAGTAGTTTACTTTCCAGGAAGAAGAGTAATCTACCTTGCCATTCCTCACCTTTGATCAACTTTTTACTCTCTGGGTAGCTCTTCCAATTCTACTCTGTCTTTTTAGAATATGAGAACCATCACAAAATATACATGACTGACTTATGTGCTGGACTAAGTGAATGGGAAGGTGATCTCTGAATTTGTTCTTTATTTCTTTCCTAAATAATGATTAAAATGTGATTTACTTTGCTGATGGTTATTAAGCACTGAGGCAGCATTTTGGTGAACTAATCTATCACAGCTCCTAGATTTCATTCCTGAATGTAACAAAATTCATCACGTATACATAAAATTTGGGTTTATTTTCCCAGTGCACATCACTTAATATTAACATACATTGAATTCCATCTGCCACTTCCCCAGAAGATGAAGTATGCATCCTGAGGTCTGCAGAGGGGCTTCTAGTAGGTAATTCCCAAGTTCCTTCATACTAGAACACACCTGTTTGTTCCCAAGGATGAACCAGCTCTATACCACATCCTCTCCAAGTATTTCTTTTATATAACAATCATCTAGTGGACTTGTACAGGTTTTGCTCCTGTTATATTTTAAAAGGATTCAGTAACAGTTTTTCTGCTGTTTGCAAGTTATAAACTTTTTTTTTTTTGCTTGCCTAACTGCATTTTTATATTTAAGGTGTCAGAATTATGCATTTGTTTTGGTTTGCTGTTTTTGTTTTGTTTTAGTTTCTCTCATTATTCATTTTAATCATTTTTCTGAAAGATGCATCCTTGATTCTAATAACCTGCCTTCTTCCCCCCCTCCAATTTTGTCATGATAGTTTCCGTTCAGTCCTCAAATTTCTGCGCACATAATCTTTGATTCCAGTGTAATTTCGACATCTCTTCCAAAGATTTAACTCTTTTTAACTGCCTGTTCTAGCTTCTTCTCAACAAGAACCCTTACTTTTATGTAGCTTCTCTTTTTTAAAGTTAAGCACAATACTTGTGTCTTTCTCAGATTTTGGGAAGTTACTGAACGTAAATATATTAGTCATTATTAAAGAATAGGTCTTTGTTAATAACATTATAAACCAGGTCCTCTGCATTACCTTCGCTTGCAGGTTCTTTGATCAACTTTTCCATAACACAACCTCACAGTATCTAAAAGTTTACTCTCAGGATCATGGTTTGACATGATAATTACCTAATTTACATGAAAGCAATTTAAATATCCCATGATCATAATTTTTCCTACACTTTCAAGCTTTTGATTTTCCCCAGCACGGCAGACCGCCTATCATCATTTGGTCAAGTGGCTGTTAATGGGAATCTTATATTTTTTCCCTCTTCAGGCCTAGAATTTCACTTTATAGGGACTCTGTGTAACTCACTGACTTGTTAAAGACAAGAACATGTTAACTTGATAGTCTTATTTAACACCTATCCCTCTTCTTTCATATTCAAATTTGTTAGTATACATTTATCAGAACATTTATTTTTCCAGTTTAGAGGAATTCAGTAGGTTTGTATATCTTCAGATAATTCTTACATAATTTACACTCGGGAAAAGGATACTCTAACGTAAGAGTGAGAAATAATAAGTAAATGTGCTTTATAAAATTTGGGGGCAGGGAGGAACACTCATTAAAAAAAACCTAAAACCCCAAACACACCCAACAAAACCCACCCAAACCCCCCACACAACCACTTTCTCCTGATCCTGATAATAACATCAACAGTAAATCTTCCTGTTACTTCATCCCTGCATGATTAATACGAGACTCTCAAAGTTAACGATGCTATGCTAGTGCACACACAAAAATAGAGTCACAAGATTGCTACACAATAAGATAATTTCAAACATTTCCATAGAAGCAGTTCCACAGGTATATGTTACCAGCTCTGGTACTAATTATCTTGATTTCATAAGAAGAAAATATTTCAAGCTAAACTTTTTAGAGGAATTAATCCTTTAACTTCACTAAAGTTATTTCAGGAGAAAACTTCGCAAGTATTCAGTAGTCTGCTGGTCTAGGTCCATAATCACAAAAACGTAAGAAGGCATAGTAATTCTTAAGTGAGAAAGAGAACATGCATAAGACTATTTATAAGGTTGAGTGAGATTCTAGAAAAGTGCATGTTTAAAATGCATAAAAATCACTATATTGATTATGCCACAGTCTTACAGTAGTGCAGAAATGAGCAGCTGATTTGCAAAATATAATCAAGAAAGCATCCTTAAAGAAACCAGAACAGAAAGGAACTGATGCAATACTGACTACTGTTAGTTAGAATTCAGCTACTACTACTAGCACTGGATCAGGTCCAAGTATGCTTAATATGGCAATATCTTTTTACTTATTAACAGTAACAACAATTGTATGAGTTTTGTGGTTACCTTTTAAGGTTTTACGTATGAGGGAAAGCTAGTGTGCTATATGGCACGGTGTGAACTTACAGTGCTCTCACTCTCTGCAATAGTTTCCTCACAACATTTCTCATGCACACAAGAGTACTTTTCACATGAAGCAGCTCTCTGAAATAAGAATATGTCATATTCCACTTAAGGCATCCTAAAAGCACATACACAGAGAACTAGTAGCACAGTCCCACACTACTCAGCTGTTCACTCACACTGTAGCTAACAACTTCCTATTTTCTCCTTCATAAAAAAACACCCTATCCAACACTTCTTCATATTAACTCTTATGATGTTTACATTAACTCTTACGATGCATATAACGCGCCTAAGAAAGTCAGAGGCATTTAACCCTTTTGATAACATTAACCAGGCCCAGCTTTAAGTCAACAGCATTTTCTCTTTATTCTAGCAAGAGTTAGGTCAAGTTCTTAAGGGACAAATTAATCCAGCAGAGAAGTCCAAGATGGATTGGCAGAATATCTTGGGTTTGTGCCTGTCTGGGGCAGGGGGAAGGGTAACAAAAAATAAACCCCAACCAAACAAAAAAACCCTACAAAATTCTACGCCTCACTTTCCAAATTTATAAGAAGGGGAAAATCTCCTTTCCCACAGCTGCACTTGGCACTCTTCAGGGTTATATTTCATTATTAATGATAACGTAATACACTTCTAAAAGA